CTAGGGGCTAGCAAGAGAGAGGGTGAGGAAACCAAGGGGAAAAGAGCTATGAAAATGTGGAAGCCAATGATGATGATGATGCTGATGGTGATGATGATGGATCCAGACATCATCCAGCTGCCTGTGAACAGCATGGCGGAGAGGATTTTTCAGCCAAGCGGCATGAACAATGAACAATTTTAGAACTCCTGTGGGTATATGACTTTCCAGTTTACAAAGCTCTTCAATGATTACAGTCCCATTGGGCACAATCGGCGATCCTGCCATGCATGTGCATTGGTGTTTACTGCGTGGTTGAGAAAACCAAGGGGCGGGATGGTACTGATGAGAAGATGCCCACCGTCTCCATCTAAGGATGTGAGGGGATCTTTTGATACCAGAGTGGCACACAAACCAGAAGGCCCACGCCTCCCAAACCAGTAGGGCCCTGAGGACATGTCCAGCTGCCTGGAGAGAACATTCCTCCAGGTAGAATTTCCACAGACCATTTTAAGAGGTTACTCACTTTTCTGGAGACTCTGCATTAGTAACGGCCAGTGACCAGTTTCAGATAATGGATATAAGACAACGCCGACACAGCTGTGAGCACTGACAGTGAGACCTGGTGAACAGAAGGTTGGTGCGCTGCCCGCCCACAGGAAGGCGTCACAGGGCTGCTCAGTGTCAATTCCTACCTGACAGGCAGGGAGGTCTCAAGGGGCTTGCCTCGTCAGGCTGCTGGTCAGTGGCAAACTGCGCCCGGAATCTCTCCGTGTGATTCTAAGTCCGGTGCTCTTTGTACTTCACCATGTAGAACGGTGAGTTTCCCGGGCACTAACCTGCTCTTGAACCTTACCAGCAGTTGAGCGCCCAGCACCAGAGAAGCACAGTCCCACTCTTTTTCTTCTGCTTTAAGTAAACTTGGAGGAATATTCTCATTTTGGGATGCCACCTTACAGAAAGGATCCTGACCAACTTGCGTGCATGTAGAAAAAAGAAAGAGTCATGTGCAGGCCATGGAAACGCTGATATATGAGAACTGAGCATGTCATGACCTCATGGAGACAGAATGGGTAGCTTCAAAAACAGGAAGGCTATCATAGAGAAGAAAAATTAGGCTTTTCAGAATGGCACTGGAGGGCAGAAGTTGCTGAGCAAGAGATTCTTACTTAATGCAAGTAAGAAGTTGTGAATAACCACAGCTACCCTAAAATGGAATAATATGCCTCATTAGACAGTGAATGCAATTGATATTAAATGTATCTGAACCCAAGGAAATGACTACTGGAGCTGATACTGCCTTTCTTCTGCCAGTAAAATAACCACCTTCCTCCCGCCGTAAAGTTCAGCAAGGATCACGGCTGCTCCCTTTTCCCATCCTGCCTCATAGCTGGGTGCGGCCATGCGACTGAGTTCTTGGTGTTGGGGTGTGAGCAGGACTTCAGCACTTTTTGAATCCCTGCTTACACGGCACACTGGCCGTCACTTCCCCTCCCCCTCTTCCTGTGTGCTGGAACAAGCCAAGCTAGGGAACTTTGCTTACAAAGTCAAGGAGCACAGGACAAAGCACAGCAAGAAGATCGCTCCCAGAATCACGTGCTGGCCCTGGGCCACCTGCCTACAGCTCCATGAGTGGAAAGGAGATGCCTGTTCAGGTGAGCTTCTGAACACTTTTAAGTCCTCCGTCAGAACAGCATAGCCTGTATCCCACCCTGTATAACTAGGTCTGGGAGATGCCGTGCAGATCATTAAGGCATTGTATAAGGGTTTGTAAACAATGATTTCTGTAATCTTGTAACTCGATGCTTCCCCACCACCCCAATTTTGTCTCCTTTCTTCTACAACCAGCTGTCCCCATGGTCCTCGCCAGGGTCAAACATAAGGAACCCATTATGTCAGTGACTTCAATTTCCTAAAGTATGGAGGCTCAAAAAAGTCTGGAATCATTGACCTCCAGTTTCTCTTTCGTGCCTATAGTAGGCCTGTTCCTAAGGTTCATCTGCTTTTCCATTACCAATCAGCCTCTGTGATGATATAGCAGATTAAGAAACTTTAAAGTTCTATTTGTGGTTATCCAAACTTAAGGACTGGTTGAGAAAAAAATGGTGGCGTATGAGGCATGTGATAAAATTCTTCTGCAATTATTGATTTCCCATTAGGGAAAAAAACATCCACGTCTCACTAAAGTTGAAGGTTCAGATAATACAAATATGTTTTGGCCCACAACGTATCAGGAACCAGACATAATTCTGTATTAGTCAACACACCCAGCCAGAAGAATATCCCGATTTATTACACGTGTCTCTCTATGTAAAATAAAGTCGCCGAGCTAATGAAATGAGATCCCAGCCTCTGTGTCCGAGTCCTGGGAGGAAATTAGCCAGTGACAGATGGACCTTTAATTCTGTCTGATAGATATGCCATTTCAGTTTCAATGTCTCTCTCTCTCCTCGTGTTTTCCTCTCATGCATAATGCCCTTAAGTCTTACCTCCTGATTTATGCAAACTCCATGAATTCTTCAAGATTTTGGTCTATAATTTTCTTACCCCTAATTCATCCAGTAAATCTGTAGTACATATTTCTGAAACTAATGAGGGTACCAGTAATTATTCCATATTTCATTTTTACCCACATTAGCTACTTCCCATGTCTTATGTTTTCTCTGAAACTCTTCTTTCTTTAAGCTTACAATAGATGTTTAATAAACAGATTTGAAGCGTGGAGAATTAAAAGATATGGATCAGACATTTCTTCAATGATATGTAAATTGTCAAGGAAGAACAAAAAGGAAATCTATTTCCCCACTGATTAAAAACAATTCATAAGCATGAATGAATCTGGTCTTCTCACCAAAGGATTTTTCAAAAAGAAAAGCTTTTGTAAATGTTGAGCTTTGCTATTATGATATCGAGCCTAAAGGTCCTCATTTCATTTCACAACTGCATAATTTGGAAATTATTAAGAACAGCTCTTTCTCAACCTTCTTAAATCATGGGTCAACTAAAAACATCACCATGGGTCAACTGAAAACATCAGCATCAGTTTCTCCAGCTCATCTTCCTTGAATGTCCTCGCTTGAAACACATTTTAAACCATCTTTAGCTTTTGATTTTTAGCTCCATTAATTCCTGTCGACACATTTTTCTCCTTCATGAAAATAAAAAGACAATTACACTTTTTGAACTCTGCTACCGACACAGAAAGAAGCGAAGATGGAAAACTCAGACTAGTATTCAACAAATAACTTGTAGTCTCTAAAAAGCAGTTTCCCTCCGATGCACCTAAGTAGGGGAAGGTGTATTTCAGCAAAGAAATGTTCAGGATCCAAGGGAAAGTGGAGTTTATTGGGGGCAGTAATATTTCATCGAGCTTCCGGAGCCACTGACTCAGAACGACCAGCTCCCTTCTAATTTATAGTGTGTTCTTCATGTCCAGCTGCCTGCCCAGCTGAAGGATCCTGCCCAGGGAGAGAATTCATTCAGCCCCTGGAGGATCCCAGGAAGGAACTATGTAGGGATGCTGGGGGGGATGTGAATTTCAAGCAAAACAAAACGTCACCCAAAATATTTGCGAGAAAAGCTTACACCAACGTGCCAAATATTTAGAAAAGAATATAATTAATCTACAATGTTCCCCAACACTGTGTTTTGCCATCTCTTAAAGTATGTTTCAACTGAAACATACTTGCTCTTAGCAAATAGGAAAATCTCGAAGGAGAAATATATAGGCTAAACTCTGTAAACTCGAAGTGCAAAGTAATGAGAGCATAAGGGAGATAGAAAGACCTTGGGAGAAGTCTATAAACAGGCTCTAACTTAGTAGAACCAGTCATTAAATATTTACTTTTTCCCACTGGCTTAGAAATAGACAAATTTCCCTCTGGCAACACGGGTCTTGCTCTCTGTGATGTGAACCTCGTGCCACAGCCCAATATCCCCAAGCCCCTAATGGCAGGCTGGGGGTGAAGGCAGCAGTGACGTTGGCTCCTTCTTCTCTTCTGGGCAGGTGGCCAGGGGGGTGCAAGGAGGTGCTCTCAGCAGCTGTTGAGGAAGCCCATGCCCCTTCCCCCAGTCCCGTTTAAGCTTTCTGAATCCCTACAGAGATCCATGCCTTCCCTGTTCTCCCTGCGGATTAATGATGGTCTCTTCCCTTATCCGTTCACTCAAATCTATCGTGGGATCATCGATCCTTCAAACTAGCCACATTTGCTGGTCCAGGAACAATAAAAACAATATCTGGGACACATTGTTTAAAAAATCCTCCCCGTTTAACCCCCAAATAATGCACCCTTTATTTAGCCTCACTTGGAAATGAAGTATAGGTCAACATTTTTAGATGTGACATTTTTCCCTTATGATTTTATTTTTGGAACCATTTTGGGGATGAACACCCTTGTGACATGTACAATACGAACCCCCTTCTGACTCCTGGGGAGTGTGCTGGACAAGTGTCCAGCCTCTGCCCCCCGATCTGCAGCTGTCTTTAGGGACCTCAGGCCTGTCCTTCTGGGCAGAAACGTGGCGAAGGTCGGGGTTATGCGCATAGGGCAGGTGTGGGGTCTTCTCGTTGCTCTTGGGCTGCGATGCTTCTCAGCCTCCTGAATTGTTTTTTACATTTTTTTCTGTCTTCTCTCCACCATTATTGTTGATGCCTACTTACGTTTTCTCTCTTTTTTTTGGCAAAATTGTTCAGTTCATTAATTTTTAGTATATTGTACAACATGGAACCTCGGGAAAACAAGGTTATTTTCTTTTCTGTAAGACGATCTAGGGTAAGACCCTAGGAATATGGGTCTGTCTAATCCAGAAGGTTCATGGATCTTAGTGAATATTCGGGGACACTTATTGACCCTCCTCTTCTGCTTCTTCAGTGATGGTCCTTCTTTAGTTGTGTTTCAGTCATTCAGACTATTGGACAAGTACTTTCCATACATATAGTGCACTTTGTTATGACCAAATATTGTGTCTTTGGGCTCAGGGTCTGTGTGAACCAGGAGCCACAAAGGTAAAGCAAATCTTACCTTTTTGTAAAGACTCCTCAGATCTCGGTACTGCCACATGCTGTTTAGGACCTGAGATGCGGCCTTGACCACTTTCGGAGAGTGTCTGAAAAAGAGCAGACAAGTCATGTAAGATGGCGAGTGGGGCAGCTGGGCGTTAGATTGACACTAACTCATCAGGGTCTGGCATTTACAGAAATAAACATCCTTCTGGCCCCTTGGCTCTTTCCCTCTCAGCCCGGGGAGTGCAAGGGATGATCTACCTGTCTCCAACCTTACTCTCAAAAACAGCCCATGAGGGAGAGAGAGGGGAACACATTCAATTTGGCAAAGAATTTTCAAAATGCCAAAGGAAGAGCAGAGCCTTGTGTCTGAATGCAGATTTAGTGTTTGACTATAAAGTGGAACAGAAAGAAGAGAAAAATCGCAATCAAGAAGGGCTGGATTCGGGAGTTTTAATGGCAGTGTTATGCAATGACCGTGTAGTAAGAAGAAAAAAAATACTCAGTTTCTCAACTGAAGCATGAGAGTATATATAGGGTTGGTTCTACGTGTTTACGTGATCACAAGGAGCTGCCTTCCATTTGCTGATGGTACCACGCACAGTAAATTGGCAGCGAAGGAAGATGTGCGAGGGAGAGAGGGAGGGAGACATGCTCTCTTACATTTATATACAGGAACACATAAGCATCTATAAATAAAGCCCTGTGTACAATTAAAGTTCCACCCTGCATGTTTTTGAGTCATGGCTTTAAATTTGTTACGAAACAAACAATAGCTAAATATTTCGACTTTGGGGTTAGTGCCAATCTGTGTCTCAAAACAGACACAAGGTCAATAAATCTGTGTTGATTTAATTTGATCACATTCTTGGAAGTGATTTTGGCTTGTGGTGAGGGAAGCTATTCATTAATTACCTGTCGATCCTTTATTCTAATGGCCAAATCCATGCACAGCTGCACCCTCTAGTGGTTGTCTAGTGGCCTCTCTTAGGGGCTGGCACATTTTTCTAAAAAGGATCAGATAATAAATATGCTCCACTTTGGAGGGCCGTATGGTCTCGATCACTGCTACGGAGCCCTGTGACTGTGACACTAGAGGAATCATAAATAATGCATCAGTGAGTGATGGGGCTGCGCTCCAATAAAATATTTACAAAAGCAGGCAGTGGGTGGGATTTGGTCCCTGGGCTGTAGATTGCTGACCCCTGGTCTATATGTACGTTGACTCCTGAAGTTGGGCAGCACATAACCATCCATGAGGACTCCAAGGTGAACCCACCCATGAGGCTGACCAGTGGTGCAGTGGCCCAAGGATTCCCAGAAGAGAAAATCTGAATTGCGACCAGAAATGCCTTTGAAATAAAAGGGCTTTTGAAATAGAAAGTGAGCAGATGGTTAGATGGGATGAGGTTGAGGTTGGATCAGGGAGCCAGAGGAAGCGGAGGTTGTGAGGACATGCATTTTTGTGAAGGAATTATGGGATGTTAATACATGGTCAATTAAATGTCTGCTATTTTCCTGGGTCTTCAAGCTTGCGATTTAGACCAAGTAAGTTGAAGGTTCCTTCATCCACTTGCTTACTGGTGACAGCAATAGTCATGCTTACTATTTTTATTGCTGAGATGGAATTCAACTTTGGCTGTGTTTGAGAACACTAGTTACATCATGTAGTTTTAAAAGAAAAAAAGTAGAGTTCTTATAAATTCAACTTTTTTTCACTATGAAAGATGAACTGTATATAAGTAACACACATGTTTTCCTTTACTAAATGCAGGGTTGCTAAGTGATTTCATAATTTATGTTAGTATCCTGCTTTAAATCCTTTGACTTAAAGACAGAGAATCTAGAGCTTTTCATGGATACAGGTACAGGTGTGTGTTAACCTTATATAATCAATGCAAAACAAAGGCTAAATGTTATGTGTTGCTGTATTTTATCATTGTTAGATATTTGTCCATGACAACAGTTAAGCAACTCTTTTAATGTTTATTTATTTTTGAGAGAGAGAGCATGCGAGCAGTGGCGGGACAGAGAAAGAAGGAGTCACAGAAACGGAAGCAGGCTCCAGGCTCTGAACTGTCAGCACAGAGCCTGACGCGGGGCTCGAACACGTGAACTGTGAGATCATCCCCTGAGCTGAAGTCGGACGCTTAACTGACTGAGCCACCCAGGCGCCCCTAGCAACTCTTGAGGAGCATGCATTAATATTCAGATATTAATATTAAGTAAGGTAGTTGAGACACAGCATGCAAAAATTCTTCAGAAACAGTGTACAAAGTAGAAAAAAGACTATGAATGTGTAATGAATAGCAGGTTTTAACCTTTCAGTGAAAATGCCAATACATCACAATGTCACAATAACATGCGAACATGCGAAAAATAAAACTGCTTTTATTTTTAGACTTTAATTTTGACCCATCACTAGTCTGAAACCATAGCAGCTTCTATTTGAAAGACTATAAGTATTGATTGAAGGACTGAACAATTCAGTGTTTCTAATGTGACAAGTGATTATAACCTAAGCGACAATATACAGTTCCTTACTGCCAAGTAACAGTTGAGACTGTTAATGGCTTTTCTGTCTTATGACAAAATACAGTGACACATTCAACGCTATTTCCTATATAACTGTTAAAATTGGAAAGAAAAAAAACCCAAATGTACTTTTGAAAGAGATGGATGTGCCTGAAGGTCCACAATGGGTGTTTAAAATGATGTGAAAAGAATAATTTAAGTTATCGAGATTTGAAAATAGTAAGTATAAGACTCCTATAAGGGTCCTTGATGATTACACAATGCCTGCTCTTCACTAACATCGTCAAATTAGGGGTGACGGAGGATGTCAGGTGGTGTAATTCACGGTGGGTGTTGAGCACAGCTATTCCAAGCAGCAGGGTCTCCGAGCCCCAGTCCTTGTGGTTGTGTTACAATGGCCCAGTGAGCAGGACAGTTCAAACGGACTGTGACTGGCAGCTCACCAGCCTGACTCATTAATGGCATGGCGTATTAAGTTTCTGTATATTTAGAAATAAAACATATAAATACACAAAAATGGAGAATCATAGAGAGGCACGTTTCTCCATCACGCTTTATCATGCTATCTGAAATTTAAAAATCAGGTTTGAGTTAAACTTACTTCTGCTAATAATTTTTAAGGACCTTTTAGGGAGGGTAGATTTGCAAGGGCTGTATAAATTAACCAGGGCAAACTGCTCTCCCTCCAGTTTTCAATGATTAACTAATCCCCAGTTTTAAAAACTCTCATTTCAATAAAGATTCTCTGTTTTGTTAAAACTTGTCGAAGGTCTTGGGAATCTCAGTGCCTACTGTCATAACAGAATTGAGTGATGAGTGGTGAGTTTAGTGTTAAGATTCAGAACAATTCTTCTGGATTCCTTTTAAGGGCGGTGAGAAGCAGTAACCAAATTCAAGTGTAGGTGGGAGATGAGGCTATCCGCAGTTATAAAAACCTTGTTTTGATCCACAAATTAGTCATTATATAAAAAAGAGGTAAATCACATGGAAGGATGGGTGAGATGCGCAGGAAAATTGGGAAGACGCCTGACTCAACCCAGCTCAACACTTTTTATTCAACTCATGTGTAAATCTCGATTATTAACATTGGGGAAAAGGTCAAGGAATAATGAGATGAAGCACATGACTTTCTTACAAAGAAAATTTCAGTCAAATCAAAGGACAGTTAGATCATCTTTAGTGAAAGAAACTTCCCATTAACAATAATCAAGATTGGATAAGACCTATCAGGACCATTTTCTTGATTGGCAACATGGATACACAATCTTTCATCAGTGGTTTCCTCAAATGATTTTTAAATTAATTTCACCAAGTAATTTTCTTTGACCATAGGACTGATAAAAGCATTGCTTCTCTTTAAGGCCCATTTAGTGATGTTAACTACAGTAAGGCTGCTCACACAACTGGAAGAATTTAACACATGCCAGACCACCCCTCAAGCTCTCTATTCTTACATTTCAGAGAAAAAAAAAATCTTTGAATGTCTCATGAATATGCACAAATAGGTCAGAGTGTTTTTGTGGACTATGGCTTTGTCATGTGTGTGTCTGTGTGTGTTTGCTTAAAAAAGCATTAGCATATTAAGCTCTTAATGCTCAAGACTGGCAATTAGAGATTCCCAAGTTCTATGGAAGCTGTATGAAGAAGAAAACCATGTAGGTTCCTGCTTATGTAGAATAGCAATTTTAAGTACAATATAATAACATATAATTCAAGCCAACTATCTATACTACATTATTATTGCATGAGTCCAATGGGGCCTCTCTACTTGATATAGGAAAGTACTCGAATCCTAACACTAAATTGTTGATTGAACCTATCTTGAGGTCTCAGGGTGCTTAAATAGAAGCCAGAGACTTCTTTTATTATACAATGGTAATATCCTGAATCAAATGAAATAATGAGAGAGAATTTCCAAATAGTCTCAAAGTACATCCTTTACAGCCTTTAATAATAGAAGAAAAACTATTTAGCATTTAGCTGTGAAGAAATGGGGGGAGGCAGGGAATGAAAAAATCACAAAGCAGACCTTCGATAACAAAAGGTTTACCCTCTTAATCTTATTGATTACATTGAAGGATTTCCAGGATGCAAAATTTAATTAAGGTTTGTGAATGTTTCTGTAACATTGACAGCTTGCTGATACACTGACACTCTGGCTTCTGAAGATATGTTTTGGTTGCATGCAGTAAGATACCATTGATTCTTAAATCAAACTGGGGACATTTCCATTGCTGGAGGTGCAGTTGGTTGGACACAGAGCCTTATCTTTCTTTATTCCACTAGCATAGAAGTCCTTCCTTACCACCACCCCCTCTGGAAAATTTCTTTTCATGCTGTAAGACTTGATTATCAGCCTTTCTAGGATATTAGGACAGCCCCTTCCTCGGTTTTAGACTGGAAAGTACAGGCATAGTAACTTGTTAAGTTAAACCATTTGCCCCAAACTCACAGCTAGCACAGAAGGGTGGTGGGTCAGCAATGAGTTCTTGGACTCCCCCACTCTGTTTGCTCCTTCACCCTCCCTGCATGACTTGCTACTTGCAGCTGAAGAGGCAAAGGGCAGAGATGTGGATCCGTCATGAACGCCTGGACTTGCAACCACAAGGAAATAGCAACCACAAAATACTTTCACTTACTCAGGTGAAGCAGGTTGTATTTGCTAGGGTACACATGCTGGATGGTCAAGTGCATCTTACCAGTATCACAGCAGTCACCAAGATCACCAGTTAACATCAGCTTTCATCACGGGGCGGGAAGACTGGACACCATCTGCTACTTCCCTGCTCTTGTTATCCAATGACATTCAGTGGTGTTCCCCATGACCAGTGGATTTGGGTTCACTTAGAGCCAGTTCCACCAATACCCATTCCACGGTGCTAAGGAAGTCACGGTCTGACTTACTTATCTCCTTTGCTTTTGGAGATGCCAACCAACTTCTCGATGCCGCCCGCATCCCGTAAGGCCTTGGCGTTCTCCATGTTCTTGGTGATCACTTCGTGCAGGGTGCAGCAGACGGCTGTCACCGTGTCGTCTGACATGGCCTTACTCGCTGTGTTGTTTCTGTTGTTCCCACCTGGGAGCCTGTGGACGAGGTCTCGCATGGCATATTTGCCTTTGGGAAAAAAAAAAAAAGGCAAGGGAAGAGTTGACATGAGGACAAAATGGAGGACCAGGGTAGAGGGGATGGTTGGGCCGGGAGAGAACAAGAGAACACAAGAGACCGCAGCAAACTATTGTCTGTTGCCCATCACTGAATATTCTCTGTTGGGTCGCTGTGAACACATGCAGAGACCCGTTTCTCCCTCAAGGTGAGTGCATGGGCTTTCGGCGTTCGATGGATGTGGGATGGAATTTCTGGGCAAGTTAGTTCATGCCTGTAAGCCTAGGCTTTGTAAATCTGGGCGGCAAGAACTCTATTGGTACCTATCGTACAAAGCTGTTGCAAAGATGAAATGAGTCAACGTGCGGAAAGCACGTAACACATGAGGAAGAGTACGGAGGCTGCGTACTCTGTCGATGTGAGCTGTCAGTGTGTTCCTGTTTGACAGTCATGGAAGTCCAGAAAACATACGGTAATTCGAACATAACATCAAAAATACCTTGATGGGAACTATGTTGGGGCCTGAACTATTTAAGTCAGAGTCAAACCACAAATATAGGGACAGCATGATCGTATACATAACTTGTGAATTCTGGCCCTTATAAAGCAAAGAGAAACACTCAAAGCAAGGGAGAGAGGCTTTACAAATAATGTATAACCAGGTGTCCTTTGAGCTGCGGTAACCCAATGATCCACCTGTCTCTCTGATGGGATTTATTGTCTGGTTCGACCATATAACATTTGCTAATTTGACACACTCCCCTTCGTGTGAAAAACAAAGAAAATAAAACCCAACTTTGCTTCCTTAATTTGCTTCATCATTATTAATCTTGCTGCTCTCAATGACAGAGGTACTTATAATGACATCTTTATGGAGTACTTTTAGTTTACAAAGCATTTTAGGCATCACCAATAACCCTGCAAGACATTAATTCATCCCACCTGCAGCTTCCAATTCTGTTCCATTAATTTACTCCTGGAAATAAGTAAATGAGTGCCTGTAGCAAAGTTGGCTGTTCTTGAATTTTTCAGAGGGATTTGGCACATGTCCAAATTAAAATCTCTTCCTTGTTTACCATCCCCCAAGTAGACATACTTAGCTAGCTCCTGAAAGCCATTTGAAATACGTTTTCTCCATACGTGTCCCTAAAGGATTGCCTCTTCTGCTGTTTAATCCACCAGGGTGAGGCGCCTGGGAGTAAGGAAAGGAAACGCATGGGAGAAGGTGATGACATCTCCATTCCAGGCATTAATAAATAAAACATAGGCCCATTTGGTATCTGCTCTTATCCTATGTTTAGGTGGCTTATTTTAGCTTGGGTGGAAAAAAAAATGCTGATGTCTAAATTACTGAAATAGGAAAGTGTCTTCCTTCACTTGATGGTAGCTGAGAAGTATCTGACAAAAATGGTTTGCCTGAAAAACCCAAAGTGCAGCATATTTATTTTCTAAAGACAATACCTAGAATAGTTTGGAGAAGATTCTTTGCGCATGGGCAGTTCTCTGAGCAACTTGAGATATGTATTTATCATTAAATCACACTCAGCTCTGGCTAAGATTTTCCTTTTGTGGAGCTCAGCATGCTGGGACTTCATCAGGTCATCAACCCCCACAGATTATCATAAGGCAAATCTGAGTTCCATAGATGTGAGAAGATGGATGAATGGGGTCTTTAAAAATTTTTCTTCCTAAGGGACGTGATGGAGGAAGGGAATAGAAAGCTATTTCAACCATTGGGCATACAGGGGCATTTGTGCTCCTGACGGAGTATGGAGGACTGTGTGTGACCTTGGACATCACTGAGGTTGAAAGCAAAAATGAAAAGAGAGAGAAGATTCGGCTGTAGCATTTTCCAGTTGTTGTTGTTACTGTCAGTTAAAAAGTTGTATCAGATACATTTGAAGGTGTGTTTCCTTTTGCATGTTTTCCAAATCCAAGAGCCCTGAATGAAATACAAGGTGTCCCCATAACATTCAGGTGACACAGGCAGCTGCTTCCTCCCAGAGAAGCCTCACCCACTTGCCCCAGGATGCTGTACAAACACTGATTTCCATGGTCTCCAGTGTGGAGAATGACAGACATCATCGCCATATATAATCTACCACAACCTGCCATTGCAATGATTTTATTTCTAATATTTCCAATACAGTTTACTGACATTTCACTGGGCAATTGGAGGTTTTTCATTTAGTCTATTTAGTAGTCTATTTGGAGAGATACATTTTAGTCTAAATTTTTGACCATGCAAGTGAAGAAACAAATCAAGTAAAATTATTCCATAGAGGAGAAGACTTCTGGACAAAGCTCATTAATTCTTTAAAGGACAAACAATCGTTTTAGCCTTCAATTATGCTGTTGAGAAAAGATGTCTCCTCACACTAGAACTTGAATCCTAGCTTCATGTGAAATTTGTGTAGCAAGGATAGATTTTTTTTTTTTCTTGTGTTCAGAAACTCGGAGGCTAACTGGGTGGGAAAAAAAAGAAAATAGGAACATAGAATAATTACAGCCATAAGTCACCTTGTGCAGCAGGCTAATAACAGAAGTCCAGGGAAGGGGGCCTGCACTGGGGTTGCCATGGAGACATGGATATGGGAAGTGAGCATTCGAGATTTGTTCTATAGGTCAAGGAAGTTCCAAGATCAAGTTGATATCTTACAAAGAGAATTCTGGTGCCTCAAGAAGGAAGGTTTCAGAATAGAAAGAGTGGAGTTTGGAGAAACATGTAGTCTTCTTCTGGACAATAAAACTCTCTCACTCTGAACTTCTACTGAAATTCTGAGCATTACAACTCAAGGTGGCTTTTGCCTATAATCATTCTATGTCACGTATTTTTTGTGTGTTTCCTAAGTTTCTAAACATTAGAAAGAGCCAAAAAGCCAATGTTGCTACCAATAAATAAGAGGCACCCCTCCTCCCTGCACCCCGTAGTCAAGCTTTTGGGTCTCTGAGGTCTGAGATTTCTTCGGAGGTAAAAGGAGTTAATCCTCAGGCGCCTGGGTGGCTTAGTCGGTGAAGCGTGTGACTCTTGATTTTGGCTCAGGTTCAGGAGCTGGAGCCCCCCATTAGCAGGATCTGAGCTGACAGCATGGAGTCAGCTTTGGATTCTTTCTCTCTCTCTTTCCGTGCCCCCCCCCCCGCTGGGGCTAAAACAAACAAACAAACAACAAACATTAGAATAAGAGGAGTTCTTGAGATTCTCTTTCACTCTCTTTCTGTCCCTCCCCTGCTTGTGCGCTTTCTTTCTGAACAAATAAATAAACAAACATTAGGAAAAGAGGAGTTAACCCTCTTGAGGAATTAATTCCCTTTTTGTGCCATTCCCTTTTTGAGAAAAAGTTGTGAGGTGAGTGAGCCAAACTTCAATTTTTACAGTCTAACCCCACAAAAGGGATCAAGTCGTTTTTCGTTTTGTCTCAGTTTGGTTTCAGAGAGAGTCATGGGTAGAGCGAAGGTTCTTGGCGGGCTAAGGAGGAGCGTGGCTGGACGGCGAGATGGGTGGCATCTCTTTAGGAACCCGGATGAGGATTACTGGAGCTTCTGGATGGGTCCAGGGCATCAAGGGCATCTGGAGCCCGGCGGCACCTCTGCGGTGCGTTGGGATGCCCATGTGGGTGCAAAGGAGACCCTAAGCAGACGGGCCTCACCTCGGGATTGAGTCTGGCAGCAGAGAGAGGAGCCTCCTGTCTTAGAATGAATCGCAGAGGCCCCAGAAAATCCAGGGGAGCCAGCAACCGCTGCAGAGGGACCTACTCGCCCTTCCTCTGGATTTAATTGGCTTAAAAAAGTGAATGGGACGGCACAGACTCAAAGCCATAGAAGGATTCATGCCATTTAACAGGCAACTGTAACATTTTGGAACAAAAACAAGGACTGGTGACCACAGAGAGGTGGCCGCGGGTCAGGGTCAGGACAGCATCCATCATGGAGAATCCCAGGATAACCCTCACCCGTGAAAAATACTGGAGGCGACGGAGGAAAGCGGATTCAGAAGTCTCTAGCTGGGACAATGGGGTGGGTAGTGAGACCCAAGTGAAGTTTAAAATTTAGTAAGAGTGGACAAGTTGGGTTCTATTGTATTTTTTTTCACACAAATAAAAACATGCAAAATTATTTAACCTGAGAGGTGATATGGGAGAACAACACAGGGAAGTCCCACCAGGGAGACCCACCGGGATTCTCTCTCTCTCTCTCTCTCTCTCTCCACCCTTACCCTGCTTGTGTTCTCTCTATCAACAACAACAACAACAACAACAACAAAAAGATTTGTTGAGCCAGTTTTCTAAATTCTGAATCTCTAAAACATTGAAAAATAAAAATCACTTTCTGTTTAGAGCGTGGGGCCCACGCGTGGGCAGGTGGACTCGGGGGACCTAAGCACCTCTGCGACCCAGGAAGGCCGCTCTGTGCAGGGCTGATGCAGACACGGGCTGGTGCAGACAGACACGGGCTGGTGTCAACACGGGCTGGTGCCGACACGGGCTGGTGCAGACACGGGCTGGCTGTTACTTTATGATTCTGCTTCTATTTCCACTTGAGGACTGGGTTTATTTCTGGCATTGATTTGTGATCTCAGTATCCCCGTCGGTGGCAGCAATATTGAGTAGTGGTTTGTGGTCTAGCCGCTGTGAGGTGGCGGACAACAGAAGTCATGGGGTCCCTTCCTTCGCTGATGAGGTGTCTCTTTTGATCACTGACAGAGTCCTCTGGAAGGCTGGTCTTTGTGACGACTCAAGTGTCTTTCTAACCTCAAATCTCTCAAACCAGTGTTAGAGAAAAGATAGTTTGTAAAAAGGCTGGAGTGGAGAGCGGTGCTGGGTGAGGGACATCATGACTCCTTCAACTCTGAGGTCTCAGCACCTCTTTGACTTCTTTGCTTCTGGGGCTGCTAACTGGCTGCCATATGAGCTTTTGCTGACATGCTCTAAATTTATTCTTTTCTTCTCCATTTTTTTATACTGTGTAGAATACGCATATCATAAAATATAGCATCTTATTCACTTTCAGGAATA